GGAAGGACATGGAGGAGGAGGAGGAGGAGGAGGAGGAGGAGGAGGAGGAGGAGGAAGATAGGATAGGATAGGGTAGGACGGCGCCCGAGACAGGTCGTCGGCATACGGGCCAAACACCCTGATCTGAGCGATGTACTCCGTATGATGTGTTGTCGGTACCGCCGTGAGGGGAAATATCCCACGGCAGTACCCACGACCAGAGCACCTCCCTGGTAGTTACAAACCCCGAGCACCTTCCCTGTTCCGAACCCTCCTGACACGGCTGGGCATTCGTCGTTCGCACGCTACACGGCTACCAACGGCAAGACTGGACGCTTCCGTGACCTCCTGCACCCCTCGGGGAGGTCGAAACTCGATTGGAGCAGGCACCGCCCGCGCAGGGGTGGGGCGGGGGGGGAGCTCAGATCACGACAACGACGAGAAAGCAGCTCAAGACCCGCTCGGGTGGGTGCGACACAGGGCCTCGAGAGTCTGATCGCTTTCTCCTGGCTCCAGGCCCCACAGCGGACACCTAGGAGGGACCCCGACGACCACCTTCGCAAGCGCATCGCCCGCAACATCAACGATGTGGTGCTGGATGGTGTGCTGTGTGAGGGGTCCAAAGAGCTCCAGGGTCTGAGCAACCTGTGAGCGAAATATTGGTTGCCTCACTTGCCACCTTGAAACAGAACGCGCAGTGCCATCCCAGCTCCAACCAACCCCAAACGTGCCACCTGGGTCAGGCCGAGTGGCCTCTTCCAGCGGACCCGCTCGGTGTGAACACACACACACACACACACACACACGGGCAGGACAGCGGCAGCAAGCTTCATGAACGAGTTAGCACGGCGATGAGCTTCCTCGGCATAGGCCAAAAACGCAGGGCCAGGAGGCAGGTGCATCCGCGCAGCTATCTTCGCGTGATGGTCCGCCAATAGCTAGCTTGCGCCCACCTCCGTTTCTCGGGGTCTGGAGCTTCTTGACGTGACGCACTGCCATGTGTGGCGGTAGCCCTCCAGGCCTCGAGCAGACTTAAAGACACCAGCGGCCTGATTCGACGCGCACACCTGCTGGCTGAATGATTGCTCAAACCTCAGAAGGAGGAGGGGGAGGGGGAGAAGGAGGAGGAGGAGGAGGAGGAGGAGGAGGAGGAGGTACAGTCAACTCCCGCCACAATCTCGCGATCCGCAGTCTGCCCAGGGAGGCACAAGCCGCTAGCCTACGCTCCCAGCAATGACATGGGTTCTGGGGGGGGGACAAATCTCCTGCCAGTGGGCCACGCAAGATAGCAGCCGCCTTTTCAGAATTATCCTGCATCACGACTATGGCCCCAGACGCCCTTTCAAGCTCAACCAAGCCTAGCCTGGCACACTAACTGTCAGGGGCGATCTCGAGTCTCGTTCCTGAAATTAGCGTTCCAACGTCGTCGACCGAGACGTCTGGATGCTCCCCTTCAGTCCCTCAAGAATGGCCTGGTCTGTGCAGGAAGGGGGAATCTCGGCCACAGGGTGCAACACCTTCCCTGGATGAAAACGGGGTCCTGGAATTCTAGACCACTGGAAATGAATTCAGGGCTAGCTCCAGAGTTGGCACGCGCCTCGACTGTCTTCGGGAGCATGCACTCGCAGTCTGTGGGAGCATCAGGCCTTCCACAGTCACAGAACCCGTCACACGTCCACGCCGCCCTGCTGAAATGCTGTCGCGTCCACGCGCCGCGGCAGGAGCAGCTCGCAGCGAGAGGTTGGCCTTGGCCAAGTGTGGCCTCGAGCCCACTCCCCGATCCTCGAAGGAACGCCATCGAACGAAGCGCGGTACCCCGCAGGTGCTCCAAGGCTCCTGGCTATAGCTGCAGCTCGTGCCGACGCTGAACGCATGCAGGGAGCAGAATGCTGAGCATGCTGGGAGACATCTTGCCAACAGGCACCTCGCAACCTCGGTGGTCGTGCCAAAGAACAGGAGACATGACCTGCCATCCTGGACGCTCGACTGGGGGGCACAGCGAGGAGAACGATTACGATGCCGAGCAAGAGAACAAGGAGAAGCCCAGAGATCCGATGTCTTGATTCTTAAATACGGGGTCCAAACAAATCTCGACCCTTTCTTCAGGTCCGATGTTCCATCCAGAGCTGATTTTCACGGTCAAGGGGCCCGGCAAGGAAGGGCCCCCAGAAGCCGAAAATTGCCAAAAGCCCTCAGGGGGAGAACAAAAGTACTGGACCTCTCCAAAGTGGAATTCTGAGCAGAACTTCAAGGAGAATCTGGCAGTCGCGGTGAGAACTCTCTCCGTGATGAGGAGCGGCTCTGGCACTCTGGATTGTATCATGAAAGAAAGGGTGTCCGATTTTTTGGCGGCCTGATTTGAACTGTCTTGGGAGCGTTCCGGGGGGTATTATTACAAGACCGCCTTTTCATGGCTGGTCTGGGCGGGGGGTAGACTTGCTCGTCTGGGAGGGTTGTGACCCCGCTTCTAATTCTATGATATATGGAGTGTCTCTTCCCTCCCTGAGAGCACGACAGGCATAAAACAAGAAAATACGCAATCAACCTAAACTTTTGGCGCTCCGCGCGGATTTCTTGGATCTGCGCCGGACCCCCCTCCTTGGCGCGCGGAGCGCGTCAGGGGCGGCGCCGGAGGCGCCGTCGGGGGGGGGCCTGGCGCGAATGCAAGAAATCCGCGCGGAGCACCAGAAGTTTATGTTGATGGCGTTTTCCCCCGGCTATACGTCAGCGTGACCCTGGGTAAGGGTGACCTTTGGTGCGCGGCCTTTTGGGGGCCGCGGCCTTTTGGGGGCCTCGTCCTTGAATCCTCCCCCCTCCTCCTCGTCCTCGTTTGCTAATCTCCTCTCCTCTTTCTCCTCCCCCTCCCTCTCCTCTTCCCGCTGCCATCCCCCTTCCTTGCACGTCCTCTCTCCTTTGGTGCGTGGCCCTTTGGGGGCCGAGGGGGGGCCAGACACGGGAGCGCAGGAGGCCGCTGCCGCCTCGCGTTCGGCGATCGGGGACCCCAGGGGGCCCGCGCCAGAGGTCACTCCGGCGAAGGCTCACTCTTGCGTGCAGTCGGCGTCCTTCTCCGAGAGGAGGCGGCTACACGCAAGAGTGACCCCGGGCAAGAGTGACCTTTGGTGCGCGGCTTTGTGGGGGCCGCGGGGAGACCAAACCTGGGCGCGCAAGCCGCTACTGCCGCTTCGTGTTCGGCCGTCTGAGGGCCCATCTGTGCCCGCACCAGAGGTCACTCTGGCGAAAGGTCACTCTTACGTCTAGTCGAGAGGCGGGCGAGGAGGCGGAAAAACGCCTGCCGGTTCGGGCCCTGGCCGGTGCCGGTGACCCCCGACCAGGCCGCGAAGGCAGTCACCGCCCCCAGGATGCGGGACATGTCGGGGACGTGTGGCCCCACGTCGCCGGCCAGCTGCAGGGCGACGGTGGGCATGAAAATGTCGAAGTCCTGGGAGGCGAGGAGGAGGAGGGGGAGGAGGAGGGGCAGGAGGAGGAGGAGGATGAGGAGGAGCAGGAGGAGGAGCAGGAGGAGCAGGAGGAGGAGGAGGAGCATCTGCTGGAGTACCTAGACAGCCTCGCATCGTGAGACAAAGAACACGGCGCGACCCCACGTAGGAGACCAAGGAACCAAAGACCCATGACCAAGGAAGCAAGGAAAAAAAACCAAGGAATCCAGGCCCAGGAACCGAGGACGAACACCAAGGAACCAAGGAACCGAGGACCAAGGAACTAAGAAACAAAAAACCAGGAGTCCAAAAGCCAGTGCCAAGGGACCGAGGAACGAGGCCCGAGGAGCCGGGGAACCGAGGAGCCAGGCAACCGAGGCCAAGGAACCCAAGGAGCCGAGACCAAGGAACACCAACAGGAGCCAAGACGGTGGCCGAGGAGCCCCAAAAGACCCCGGCAGGGCTTCGGAAGGAATCGAAGCAGAGGAGCCCTGGGGTGGACGGTTTCCCACGGGGCCGTAGGCGACCCGAGGAGGAGGTGGAGGACGACGGGGAGGGGGAGGAGGAGGAGGAGGAGGAGGAGGAGGAGGAGGAGGAGGAGGAGGAGGAGGAGGAGGAGGAGTAGGAGGAAAGGGGAGGAGGAGGAGGACGAGATGGAGGAGAGGAGGCGGAGGAGGAGGAGAGGAGGAGGAGGAGGAATGGAGAAGGAGGAGGAGGAGGAGGAGGAGGAGAAGGAGGAGGAGGAGGAGGAGGACGGGTCCCCTAAACCCGTCGGAGAAACCTTCCACCCTGGGGAAGCCTGGCGAGACAATCGCGTCCGGCACCAACGGGCTCTTCACAAACAGGGAAGTGTCGCCGGAGGCGAAGCCCAGCCAGGGAAGCAAGCGGCGTCCAATGTCAGGGGATCGAGGGGGAGAGGGAGGAGGGCATGCGCAGGAGCACCTGCTCCGCTGACGGGCCCCGTGCCTGGGGCCCGAAAACCAGGGCGGCGGGCTCCACCCACCTCTGCGCTGGGGCGATGCCCCCAACATCCGAGTCAGAACGAGGAGGGGTGAAGAGAGGACAGGAGAGAACAAGAGAAGAGACGAGGATATTTCAAACTGTAACAGAAGTTAGTGTACGAAATGATAACACACAAGAACAGAATAGACGAGAAGAAAAGAGACTGCACTAGATGATGAGGGAAACAAGAGACCGCCATATCCTACCCCCGCCGCCTATCGAGTTGCCTGAATCATTGATCCGGCGAGGGTAGGGTTCGGATTTCGCCGCCGACGGGGTGGAGGCGAAGGCGGGCGGGAGGGCGGGGAAGCTCGGCAGGTCACTCCGCGGAACGCGGGCCTGCCTCGGGCCGAAGGCGACAGCAGCGCGGCCCGCCAGCTGCCGCCCTCCAGCGCGGCGGCAGCAGCACGACGAGGGAGCAGTGCCCGAGCCCCGGGAGGGCGCGGCCCCGCCAGCCGGACCGTCCCCCAGCCCCAGACATGCGACGTCGTGGCCAGCTTCGCAGCGCGGCCTCCCGGAGGTCTGGCAGAGGCCTCACTCATGGGGTCGCACCGCCTCGCCGATGCATCGGCAGCGCATCGGCGATGCATCGGCGACGGCGGCGTGGTGAAATCGGGCTCCACATCGAGCCGCATCGCCGTGGCATCGGCGACGCGGCGCGATCCTCCGACCCCACCTACTCGGAACCCATCTGGGCGGCCTGACAGAAGCAGCGAGGTGCTACACAGCCGACGTCAGGATTTGTCATACCCTCGGCCCCCAGAAGTCTGGACCCCTTCCCCGGGACCAGTTTTCATCCTGAGTAATTGTTCTACGGTCCCGAGGCCCAGTAAAGGCCCCCGAGAGGCAGAAAATTGCGGAAAATCCCCTAACGAAACAAACGAAAAGGATGCGGCGCGATCCTCCGACCCCGTCTACACTCGGATCCCAGCTGGGAGACCTCGAGACATGGACCTCCTCCTGGGGACTGGCTCCTCGCCCTGAGCCGCATATTGGCGTTGTCCCCAGGACCCGGTGAGGGCCTTCAAGAGGCCGAAGACGGGACGACGCGATTCTTGTCGCGACGCGAGGACGACGTCGGGGAGAAGGAGGAGGAGGAGGAGGAGGATGAGGAGGAGGAGGAGCAGGAGCAGGAGCAGAGGAAGGAGAGGTCATTCTTCTCCTCCTCCTTCTCCTCCTCCTCATCCTCCTCCTCCTCCTCCTCCTCCTCCTCCTCCTCCTCCTCCTCCTCCTCCTCCTCCTGCTCTTCTTCCTCCTCCTCCTCCTCCTCCTCCTCCTCCTCCTCCGCCCTGGACGCTTTCGGCCCTCCCTGTGGGCCCCCAGCCTGCCAGGGGCGCCGCTCCTCGAGAGCACGTCGACACAGACCTCTTGGGCGTCGTGGCCTGTGTAGCTTCCGCGATCTCGGCCCCTGGACGGCCTCTCGGTGCCATCGAAGAGCGGACCAGCAAGTTTGAAGAGCCGGTCTCTGCGAAGGGGTCGAGAGCCAAAGAGGCTCCCAAGAGAGCCCCAAGAAGGGCTCCAGAGCGTCAGCGTCGTCGTCGTCGTCGCCGCCGCCGCCGCCGCCGCCGTCGTCATCCCCCTTCAGGCTCGGCGGTATACCGGCCGTCAGGCCTTCCCAAGAGGAAGATCCGGTCCCTGCGAAGGGGTCGAGAGGCCGGGGGGACACGCATTGGAAACAGCTCACACGACGTCGGAGGTCTGGGAGCGCGCGTCTGTCTACAGTGTACAGCACCCCTTCGGTGGGGCGCGGCGCATTCGAGGGCCGCCCTAAGCTCTCCGCGCTGCCAGCGGAGGCCAACGAGGTGACCTTACGTGAGCTGTCCTACCCCTCCCGCACATGTGATGCAACTGCTCTGCCTCGAGCAGGCCTGGCCTAAGTCGGATCGCAACCTCGGGTCAGATCGGAAACGGACTTCGGATCGCAAACTCGGGTCAGAGCGGAAACGGACGGGTTCGTGCCAGAATCGGCGCAGAGTCGGATCTGGACGAGATCGTCTGGAATCGCGGCACAGCCTCGGTCCCTGCAGGCCAGAGCGGGACTCGTTCCGAGGCAGGGTCCGGCCGCATCGACATCGGAATTCGGCCATCGGGGGTCGGGTCGGATCGGACCGTGAGCAGCCCTGCCAGGAGCCCCCAGGAGCTCCCGAGCGCCTCAGAGCGTCCCAGGCCGCCCAGATGGCTCCCCAAACCCGAGCCCTCGACGTCGACGAAGACGAACATGGGAACACTTTCGCAAGGGCCCCCAACTTCGCGCTTCGCGCCGCGCGGAGCGCGAAGTGCGAACAACTCCTTGCTCTCGCGCCGCCTCCCAGGGGAGAAGAGGAGGAGGAGGAGGAGGAGGAGGAGGAATCGGAGCCGAACCGCGAAGCGCGAAGCGCGAACAGCTTCGCGCCCTCGAGGGCGCCCTTGCTTCGCAGGCCGCCCTGCGGCCCGCTGGCCGTCGACAACCGCCCGGCCACCGCGCGGCCATCTCGGGGGAGGTCCCACGGGGGCGCGGGGCTCCGGCCTCTCTTCTTCGGGGCCCGGCAGGTCCGCGCCGTGGTGGCGTCAGCGCTGGCTTCGGACACCGCGCGGGTCGTTCCACGCTGACGGTCGCGGCTCCCCGACGGCGACGATCGCTCGATGCGGGCGGACTCTGGGGCACTGGCGTCGGGGATCGACTGACCCGGGTCGATCCAAACCCGGGTCAGCCAGGCCTTGCAGGATCCCGCAGGCTCCTGCAAGCGGGCAAATGCGCCCTGCAAGATCCTGCAGGATCCTGCACCCAAGCCCGGACCAATGCGCCCCTGGCTCTGCAGGAACCTGCAAGATCCAGCGCTCGGACCCCAGACCCCCGACGTCATGATTGTATCATGACGTCGACCCCCAGAGGTCTCGACCCCTTCCCCGGGACCGGCTTCTCATCCTGAGTCGTTGTTTGACGGTCCCCAAGGACAGGGAGGAGGCGTAGGAGGAGGCATATGAGGAGGAGGAGGAGGAGGAGGAGGAGGAGGAGGAGGAAGAGGAGGAGGAGGAGGCGGAGGAGGAGGAGGCGGAGGAGGAGGAGGAGAGCGGAGGAGGAGGAGGAGGAGGTGGAGTGGAGGGAGGAGGAGGAGGAGGCGGAGGAGGAGAAGGAGGAGGAGGGGGCGGAGGGAGGAGGAGGAGGAGGAGGTCCCAGAGGCCGAAAATAGCGACAAACCTCCCGCTGTGACTCTTGCCATGGCTCTCGAGGGGGCCTGCGTCGCGGCGCGAACAGGGGGGCCACGGCAGTCCGGGCGAGGCAGTGTGAAGGCCGAGTTAGGGGCGCCATTGCGCGGCGGCCGGGAGGAGGGCCGAGGTGCGGGGCTGGGAGGATGGCCGAGGCTTGGGGCCGGGAGGATGGCTGGATTGCGGGGCTGGGAGGATGGCCGGGCCGGTAACCTGCCAGAAGGTGCGCGACCGCCGTCCCAGACCCCCTGGTGCCTACAACCGATACCGCTGCTCCCCGGACCTCTCCCAGGGCGCGTTCAGACCAGGACTTCGCGGCGAATCCAGCGGTGGCGACGAGGGCCTCCGAGGAGGCCAAGAAAATAAGAAAAACGGGCCAAGGGGTAGCGGTACGGCGTGGGCATCGGATACGGAACCCTTAGATAAGGCATCCAGGGTCTGGAAGCCAGCGGAACTCCAATCGTGGATCGGCCATGCACATCACCGCCGCTCTCATCGGCTAAGGAATCCTCCAGGGCCTGGGGCATCCTGGGCGCATTCCTTAACAAGAGCCTCCACCGTATCGGCTCGGGGATCTTCTGACCCGGATCAATCCAGACCCGGGTCAGCAAGAAACCAAACATTGCAATGCAATAAAAAAACGGCAACGCAGGCCTTCGCAAACCCAGGTCAGCCGATATGCGCGGCCGCCTTGCGGCCACGAGCGGCTCGCTGACCCGGGTCAGCCAGACGGGGTCTTCGCAGGATCCTGCAGGATCTGGTGCCCTGCGTTTGCATTGACCCCCGTCTCTTCTGGGATGACCGTGGGGGGTTCTAAGTGGATAGGGGGGGGTGCAAATGGATGCTAAGGTGGGTTATATCTGGCCAAACCTGGTCTATAGGTGGGTTACAAGTTCCCCGAGTGGCTTAGGGGGGCTAGATAACTCGGCCAAGTGGGCGGAGCCCACTTAGCCCGGATCGTTCACTTACTTGAGGCACCTGTAACCCATTTTTGTAAGCCAGGCTGGGCCAGAGATAACCCGCATTGGCATCCACCTGTAACCCCCCTATCCACTTATGAACCCCCACGGTCATCCCAGCTGAGCCACCCTGCGGCGGGCTCCTCGGGGCCAGATGCTGGGGTGCGTCGTGCCTGCCAGCGGAGGCGAGGCGAGAGGAGACAGGGAGGAGAATCCTCCCCCTCCCCCTCCCCCTCCTCCTCCTCCTCCTCCTCCTCCTCCTCCTCCTCCTCCTCCTCCTCCTCCTCCCTCCTCCTCCTCCTCCTCCGCCTCCTCCTCTCCTCCTCCTCCTCCTCCTCCTCTTCCTCCATCTCCATCTCCTCCTCCTCCTCCTCCTCCTCCTCCTCCTCCTCCTCCGCCTCCTCCGGCCGCCCTGCCCCCCCTTCCGCGCCGGCCTCCGCCGGCGGAGCCGCCCCCTGGCGGCTCCTCGGCCGCCGGCTCCCGCGGGCCCCTCCCGCGGCTCCCGTGCGCACGCGCTCGGCCGAGACCGGCCACGGCCAGGGGGTACATGCGGCGAGGGCAGGGGATAAGGAAAGCTCCGAGAAGGAATCTGTGGGACAAAAAACAATATATATATATACAATGTATAAGAAACAATGGGACAAAAACACACATAGCACAAAAAGCACACAAATAAAAAAACACGGGGCCTGGAAGCCGGTGGAGCTCCGATCGAAGCTTGGCCAGTGGTATCATCACCGCTCTCATCAGATGAGGAACGCTCCGTGGGGAAAAACACAAAACACACACACACACACACATACACATACACACACAAAACATACAAACACACACACACACGTGGGAAAAACACACACACACACACACTGTGGGAACACACACACACACACACACAACAGGGGGGCAAAACACACACACACACACACACACACACGCAGTGGGGAAAAAAACACAAAGTGTGTGCTTTTTCCCCACAGAGTCTGAAGCCTCCCGCGCACGTTCCTTAACCAACGCCCCCACCGTCTAGCACAGGCCGGCCCACGCGTGCGGTGGCCGGCCCTGTGGTTTTCGGGAGGGGGAGGAGGAGGGGGGGAGACGACGAGGACGACGGGATCCTGAAGGATATCGTACAGCGTGAAAGTGCCCCTGACGGCGACGACGTGCGTCTTGCCCCTGGACAGGTGCATGAAGCTGATGTCCTTGAAATCCAGCTGCGTCACTCGCTTGATCAGCTGCCAGCCAGGAAATATCCGATTCAGCTCCTCCTTCGTCTCCTTCTCGTCCTTGTCTCCCAGCGTGTAGCAGGCGTTGGACATGTGCGCGAAGTCGACCAGGCTGAGCCTGTCGTCGCTGCATTTGTCTGACATGGTGTCGTTTTCCGCCATGGGCCACGAGAAGCTGCAGAACGGATAGCTCTTATTGGGCTGCCCGTGCAGA